TCTCTCTCTCTACGTCCCTCTCCCCGTATCACCTCACCTCTCTCAGCGAGGAGGAACGACCCAACCTCGCCTTTTGGTCTTTTCTCCCCGAGTCGCTCTTTTATTCCAGTTTCGTTGACAGGCGGCGAGAGGCCACGGAGTAGTGTATCATATTCCGCCTGTGCTCGCCAGCTCGCCTGTGTAAATAAGATCGCATGACACTCGGCGAAAACGAGGCAAAGTGTCGACTTGATGCCGGTATCAGAAGTCAAGCTGTTTACTGTCCGGCTCTCTACACCGATACAGGCACAATAACTGGCTATCTAAGACTCATAACATCTTCCACGCGACAGCTTTGAGGAGGAAAAAAAAAGAAAACAAAAGAACTTGAGCTTGTGTCTAAGATTTAACGATGATGAAAACTAAATAGACCAAGCAGTCGAAATATTGTTTATGTTTTCTCAAACGATCAAATTTATTGCCTCTGATCTATATCGGCACTCGACCAGCGAGTTGATTATTTTCCTTTCGCTTCGTGTTCTTCGCGAGATGTGATGATTGTGAAATAAGGTGATCCTTAATATATAATTGAAACAAACGCTATAATGAGTGTATAAACTTTGGCGGAGTGAATCAGTAGCTCTTGTGTCTTACCGAGGATTTCGCTTCTTATATTTTACAGGGGAGCGTAGTCTCGACAATTTACGCAGATTTCGTTCAACTGCTAAATTTTCTTCTGAATTTACTGAGGGGCATCACGATCAAGTTCTGTGACAACTGATTCTTATTTCATTTGACGTGTCCGCAAGTTGGGTACTGAGAGAGGTGGCAAGAGGTGAGTCGCACAGACCTGTATCCATACCGGGTGGACGGGAGGTGTCTGTGTGTGTGAGCAGCGCCATGTGTCCGTGAGACAGATTCTCTTATTGTTGTTCGTATTGAGTACACGCGAGGAGAAGCAGGCAATATTCCACGATTTCATGAGAACTTTGGAGGAAAAGTGCTCAAAGATAAATGCTGTATGTCAAAAATTATAATAGTTGGAAAAGACGTATTTTTCGAGATTTTATAAATAAGTCGAAATGAATTTTGAGAAGGCAATGAACAAGAAAATGTAAAATATAGATAAATCAAAAGGGTGGTAGTTCAGTGTTCCTGGAACAAATCGCTAGAATCTATGAGGACAGTAAATAGAAAAAGAAATGAGTTAGATTTTAATATTGCTCCGAAGCACACTATAAAACGTAAGGCTTACGTAAAAATGTCGGAGTAAAATTAAAGTAAAGGCGAGGGAATCAAAATTGTAAATTATATTTTTATTGAAAAAATATTTTCGTGATATAAAATTAATATTCGGCGGAAACTGAGGTATAGACACGAACAGTCTTGGAGCGAGAAAGGAGAATTACTATTTTTGAGAAAAGTAAATTCTCAGGCTAGACCTTGGACGGCAGGAGGAAAGTCTCATCTTTGACTGCCAGGAAGGCACACACGAAACAGGAGGTCAGTGGGAGGACTTTTGTTTTCTCAGTCAGAGGTCAAAGCTCGGAGGTCAAACCCGGGCCTAGGTCGGAGACCACCTGTGTGGTCACCAGAATGGACACAAGTCCTCGTGGTCTGATAGAACCGGTGGGTCTTCGGCCCAGTCCGACTTGTCTGGGTGCCGCGCACGACAGGTCAGCGCACAGTGGGAATCTCACCCTACTGTCAAATAACAACAACAGCAACAACAGCAGCAACAGCAGTAACGGTGGAGGAAACGCTGCTAACTCTTCTTCACTCAACAGCATCAATAGCTCTAGTTCTATTTCCGGAGTGATGCCTGCCAACAGCATTACGAATAACAATAACAACAACAACAACAACAATAACAACAACAATAATAACAACAATTCAGATTCGAAACCTTCGTCGCCCTCGTCTGGCAGTTCGGATCTTCTGTCAGGAAAGAATTTGACTTTCTCGCCGGAACAAGTCGCCTGTGTATGCGAGGCGCTGCAGCAGAAGAACGACATTGATCGCCTGGCCAGATTCCTCTGGTCTCTGCCTCCAAGCGAACTCCTCCGAGGAAGTGAAGCTGTCCTCAAGGCTAGGGCAACTGTAGCCTTCCACCGAGGCAGCTACCGTGAGCTGTACGCCATTCTCGAGAGCCACTCCTTCGACAGTACAAATCATGTATTTCTTCAGCAACTCTGGTATAAAGCTCATTACATGGAAGCCCAGAAGATACGAGGCCGTCCTCTTGGGGCCGTGGACAAATACCGACTTCGGAGGAAGTACCCTCTTCCCAAGACCATCTGGGACGGAGAAGAAACCATCTACTGCTTTAAGGAGAAGTCTAGACAGGCGCTTAAGGATTGCTATAAGCAGAACCGGTACCCAACTCCGGACGAGAAGAGGAATCTGGCTAAAAAGACTGGCTTGACCCTGACCCAAGTCAGTAATTGGTTCAAGAACAGGAGACAGAGGGATAGAACTCCCCATGCAATGCCGCACATGCAGTGAGTTGAATAACTTTTTTGTCTTCCTTGTCGTGAATTTGTCCGTACTGCTTGCTGTATCTGCTGTTTGATTTCTTTCACTTTCCCCCCTTTTTTTTCCTTTCCCCCCTTTTTTTCAAGGAGGGATGGGGGTGTTCCACCAGCGTCTCAAATGTAATAATTAGGCGATTCGCTAGTGCTAGTTCCTTTCCCGTGATAGGAATTCTATCTTGTGAAGTATCTCCGTCTTTCTGCTAGGATCTTGTATTCCATTCAGCGTGGTTTGGGCCTTTCCAGTCAGGGCCGCTTCCTAAATGATCTAAGTTTTGTTGATGTAAAACATTGCCAGCTACTTTGGATAGGTTTGGAACCTGCTTCCAAGGAGTCTCATTCCTTTCCTACCTTTATATCAAACCCGCCAACATGGAACGATCATAGTTGTGTTCATGAAATTTTCTTCCCTTGTGATAACAGAACTCATTTTGGTTTACGAAACAACACATTTTGCAGCTTTCTGATTGTTTACGGTAACGCTATCTTTTTTCATAAAAACGGCTGTGTAAAGATGCATAAAAGATCTTTGTGATAAACACTGACATAAGTCCTCGTGCTCACAAAGAGTCGATGAGTTTGCTTGGGGTTTCAAGAGATATTCCGGGGTAGAGTTGAGTCGGGCAACGAGGAATATCGGGGATGGGTAGGGAGTACTGGGGTACGGGGTAAGAGTGTTGAAAAGGGGGTGGTGAGAGCTTAAAGAGAATAACATATTAGAAAACTTTGATTATTAATAGTTAAATTCGAGGAATCATTTCAAACATCTATCGACTTCACCTCTCCTTCTTCTCTTTGTATGTTACTTTCACTTGTATGACCTATTCGTGTTGCTAGTGCCATTAAGCTCATACCAAAACTAAGAGAGACAAAATTTTTGGGTATAAAAATAAGCGATGAGTAAATCTTTTTTTTTTTCAGACAAGTAGGCTGGAGTTGCCATGATAGTATTGTTCGTGTTGAGTGTTGAGACATCATGCCCAAAAAGACGTCCAAAAATGGATTCGATATTTTAAAGTCACTTTCATTTTTGAATAAGTATTTCACATTATTTTCTCTCATTGCAAAGTAGTACGGACTATTATTTACTAATTTTAAAGCGTTCATCCGGCATATGTAGTGGCACCAAATCAAACTGTTTACATGGGCTACTCAGAACTTATACTGTTTTCTTTCTATAGTGTGTGAGAGAGCGAGAGATATGCAGAGAGAGAGAGAGAGAGAGAGAGAGAGAGAGAGAGAGAGAGAGAGAGAGA